AAGCAAAAACAGTTTTGAAAACGATGTATTAATCAGTGAACCAATCAGCTGGTAAATATCAGTTAGCGAACAGTTTTAAATGCACTGTATATTAGACACCTAATAAACACAACGCAAACAGCTGTGACAAAGATGAAACAGCAGAAATGACAAAAAGACAAAAAGAGCAAAATCAATGTGCACAAACAAAAACAATTGTACAATTGTTGAATTACAAAATACCTGGAAAAAATATCTATAAGAATTTTTTTTCCTCTACTATAAAATTAAAAAAAATGGCCTTAGCAACATTCACTCTAAGCTAATATATTATCAATATTGTTATTTTTTACTTCTAATAGATCGGTGGCAATATTGACATTTGGTGGATAGTACATGATGGAGGTCTCCTAATGCTATTGCCTTTCCTGCTGAAACAGCATCGTACTTGGAGAAATTGCAAATTAAGAATTTTCACTGTAGCTCAAATGGAAGACAATTCAATTCAGATGAAAAAAGACTTGAAAACTTTTCTGTACCATTTACGAATTGAGGCGGATGTAGAAGTGGTGGAGATGGTAATTTTACAAATTCAAGTATTGGAATTACATTCTAACAAAATTTTCTTTTCTTATAGATGAATAGCGATATATCCGCCTATACATACGAGAGGACATTGATGATGGAACAGCGAAACCAAATGTTAAGAGAGCTTCGTTTAAATAAGAAAGAAAACTCTAAAATAGTAAGTATGTCATTTTGGAATAATGAAACAGATGTGCATACATATGTAACTGAACGTGCTTATCTTAAAAACTTTCTAAAATTTTTGAATACATTTCACGTATTGTCTGTTTTTGAAAAAAGGTACAGACTCTAGTGGATTTTAAGGAAACCACCGGGGATGATAAGTTACCTTTGGTAAAGGCTAAGAGCAAAAATTAAATTATTTCGAATTTCATGTGTTATTTTTCTCCATCACCTTCATACATCATTCTTAAATACAAAGATAATTGTGCTTTCGAATATGCGAATATATGTACATATGGGTCATTCCATACAGTATCTACACCTCAATATTCATGTAGATGTTTAATACAACTATTGCGCAGAACGCAACACTCTTCTTCTCTTTTTAATTTAAAAGTAGTAAAAAAACTTCGGCAATTTGCCGATTTTTTGTATGGTCGTCAATTCTTTTTGAATGTTGTCAGGCTAGTAGGTGGTAAACTCGATTTGCGGCGCTCAGGGGGTTTGGAGAAAAGAGGTAGCTCGGTCCTTTCCAACTCAGTAGAGCAGTAATTTCAAGGCCTAAACTAAACTTTGTTCAAACCAGGGCTTCGGAGCAAAGGATTTTTACATCGCTACTATCTAGCTCCGCCCCGATATTTGATTTCGCTCCGAGCTCCGCTCGCGCTCCCAATATATTTTTTATTTATTCATTTAATTACTTATCGAGTCCTAACCGAGATAGATTAACCGAGATTTTTTAAAATTTTATTTTTAATGCAGATATGCATATACTTATTCTAAAAGCATTTCTGTATCCAAAGAAAAATTAAAAAATTTTTGATAACGTTTTTTTCGTGGTTAGAGCTCGATATACAAATGCATGTCCTTTCATGGTTTGACATATATATATATATATATATATATGATCCCAATATATTTTGTATTTTAAATAAAATGAAAGATATTAAACCAGTCAGCAAAAAACCCGAAAATGGATCCGAAAAAGAAAAAAAAGTGGATGAAATGCGGATTTTCGAATACTTTGACGATCGGTGTTTCCACTTAAGTGTGCGGCAGAAACGTATGTAAAGACAATAACCGGAAATTGTTTTGAAATGGATACGTTTTTCGCTGTTTTTCTGAAATTTTTCTTATTGAATTTTTTATTCAATACGCTTTCATTCTGCACTTCATAGATGCTTCCTCATGGTTCGAAAAAAAAAAATTAAATAACGCAGCGCCTGAGGGCTATTAAACAATAAAATTGTTTTTTCATCGTCGTTTAAGTTGACGTGGCAATTATCTCTAACTGCTGGGTATTATGCAAAATAGAATGAAAATTTATTTTAGTAGCAAAAAAAAAATTAAGTTAATTTAAATTTCTTTAAAGAGTTTAGGAGCAAATGAATTTTTTTAACTCTTTCCTCCAGCTCCGCTCCAGCGTACGTTATATAATCGAGAATTTATTTTTCTCCATCTCACCTCTTTTAAAAAGAGGTTAAAGTTCTACTTTTTGGTCGAAAATTCCTTGTTATGGTATGATTATGGCAACTCAACGTAACTTACTGCTCTCACTGAAAAAATTTTGTTAAATGGATGTTGCTTATAATTGAACAGCCAAAACGTAACATAACTTAATTCCACGTCGAAATCTGTTTCATTTTGATTCTCTAAGCCAGCGGTCGGCATTCTAACACATTCAAACGATTCAAAATTGAGACTGTTTTCGTTAAATGCACTGCTCAGCTGCCGCTCTTCGTATACGTGTGAAACACACATGTGACAAGTGAGCTAGGGCCTGCCGACCACTGCTCTAAGCTCTACGTTCCGCTAAATTAAGTTAAGTTGCCATAATCAGGCTTTTAGCGTTTGTGCAGAACTTTTTAACCCTCCAACGACCGCAGAGTCAAACTCGACCCGTTAAGTTAACGGGCTCAAGCGTTCTAAAAATAATTGCCAGCTTAACTTTAATTTAGATCATCGAAAACAAAAATTATGTTTGAAGCCGATTTATGTATGTACATATGTGAAGTTTCTGCGGGATACATTTATACTTGTAAAACTGAAACAATGGTACTTATTGAATGTATTATGTATTTATATTATGATCCTTATTTTCAAGTAATACTACGCTCAAAAGAATGTCTAATAACCGCTTGTTTATTAAGCAATAGTTTGTAATAGTTCGGAACAATTGTTACGAATTATCACGGCTTGGCGGTTTAATACGAAAAAACTGCATAAAAAATTATAAAAAAGGGATAAATTTAGAGAGAAAAATAACAGATAAAGTTTCTACAGGATAAAGAAGAAAATTTTCCAGGAAGAAATATACATATGTATCTGTGGACATTTTAAAGAACAACTTAAGCCTATAGTTTACGGACTATAAAATTCACGACTTTCAACTATTTTGTTACAAATTTTTTTCCCAGAATGCATATGCTTTTCTAAATTTTCAAATGCAACGCGCAAGTACTTAGAGTTATCATATTCGAATAAAATTTTGCACAGCTTATTTTTAGACCAAAAGACATATTTTTGAGCCCGGCAAACTGTATATTTAAAAAAATAGTTAAAATAACGAACGGTCTAATGT